CATTCAAGTTTTTCCAGAAAGAGATTAGATAACAAGAATATGTAGCCAGAGTTGTACATTCTATGTACTCACACAGAATTAAGTTTCTAAGGAAAATTTGATTTCCTGTTATATTAAATAATGAAAAATAGCCATATATGCTTCTGTAAGTTACAGAGATACAAACTGAGATGTAGGTTTAATTTTTATCTCTGCAACTTATAGAGGGCATGGATGATGGGAAGGAAGACAGGAAGATCATAGTATTTCTTTTCCCCCTCAGTTCCCCCTTCCTGAATATGGGATGCAACATGATATTATGAGCTCTGCCAGGTGTTTTTCTTTCTAGAATTCATATACAATGGTACCTTGGCTCACAAATGCCTTGGTTCACGACCAAATCTGGTCTCGAACAAAAATTTCATGAAAATTTTGATTTGGGTCACGAACTCTGCATTGGGCGGCGACCAAGATCCTGGCCATCTCCCTACACCCCCAAGTGGGGAGATGGCCACGATCGCAGTTGCATTTGTGCAGGGAAGACGTGTGTGATCACAGGCACATGCCTGTAGGAAAGATCCTTTTAACTGGAGATACCTGGCACTGTGCCTAGGAACTTTTCTGTGCAGTGACTTTGCTCTAGTGCTGTGCTATGAGCACCCCTTGCAGCTAATTAGAAATACGGATATTAGAGTGAGGCCCAATAGAGAAAGAGGTTTCTCCCAGAGGAGTACAACTGGGTTAAACTGTTAAAAACCCAGCCATCTTTCCCATGCAATACGATACCCATCCCAGAATTCTAACTTTTGTGAACTGCCCAGAGAGCCTCAACTATTGGGTTTGAGAGAGCCTCACTTCACCCACACCTGGTGCAGCTATTAAGGGAATTAGCTAGAACATGAGACGGATAACAAGCTGCCATACCATGACTTATTAACCATTCCTGTGCAATATGACTGGTTATAGAACTGAGCTGTCTCTCCCAATTTCTAATTTTTAATGTTGCCTGGGAATTTGAGGAACTCTTTTTTTTAGCTCCATGAGAAGAATGCATATACTGTTATGCTCTTTGGGAGCATCCTGCATATTCTTTGTGCCACTTTAACTGTAACTCCCCCCTCCCCCCAACCAGCACGATCACAGCCATCCCCCCCCCCCCCACCCCTGAGAGGCTATACAAAAAACAAGCGACTGTAGACAGATTTTTCACCAAAATTGACACTGCAGTTAAGAGACAAAGAAGAGAGGAAACCCCTGAAAGAGATCTCCCCAATGTCCTTATGGAGGGGGACTCTTCTTCAAAAAAATAACCTCCCCCCCACCTAGGTTAGTGTTCTCCACTGTACTATACAGTACTTTGTTACTTTGTTGTTTTCTGTCACTTTGTTTTAAATTTTTCTGATTAAAAAAATAGTTACAGAACGGTTTAACCTTATTTACATTGAATCCTATGGGAAATTTGACTTAGGTCACAACCAATTTGGGTCACAACCAGAGTTGTGGAATGGATTAGGTTTGTGAGCCAAGGTACCACTGTATTAAATTTTTTAAACATATAAAAAACTGCAGTATCAGTCTTCCCTAAATGTGTTACTCTGAGTCCACCCTGCAGAGACTGTTGGGCAGGACCCATCCATATTTTGAGAATGGGATTTTCCCTCTTATATAGCTATGTTTCACTTCCCATGGTAGCCAGATCCTGTGTCCTTGTCTTTAGCACAAATTGATGGCTATCACTACATCCCGTGGAAGTGAGTTCCATAGTTTAACTGTGTTATGAGTGAAGAAATACTTTCTTTTATCTGTCCTGAATCTCCCACCAATCAGCTTCATGGGATGACCCTGAGTTTGAAGTATTATATGTGAGAGGGAGAAAGTAGTCTCAATATCCACATTCTACACAACATGTGTGTACACATGTGTACACCTCTGTCATGTCTGCCCTTACTCATCTTTTTTCCTAAGCTAAATAGGCCCAGATGTCATAACCTTTTGTCTTAGGGATGAATTTTTAGCCCATACTAATAACTTTTGCTGAACTTTTTCCAGTTCTACAGTATCCGTTCTCAGGTGCAGTGACCTGAATTATACACAATATCTCAAGTATGACAGCACCACAAATTTGTATTTGGACAGTGTGATGTTGGTCTCTTATGCTTTTTGTCTCATGTCTTCCCATAGGCAGCCCCGAAACAGGCTGAATTCTGATTGTTACGTTTGGGTTAAAACTAGGACTGAATCTCCTGAATGGGGTTGGGGAGCAGAGTTGAGCTCTTTCAGCATGGAAGGTGTTCTGATGCTGGCTTTAGTGGAAGTGGCATCAGGAACTTAGCCAATGGCCTTGCTTATGAATATTTGTGTCATTCCGGCTGTTAACAATGCAAAAACAGCAGCAGCAGTAGCAAAAAGATGATGTGCCTTCTCTCTCCCCAAACTGTTTTGAAGTCCAAAACTGAAGGCCAGCCAAAAACACCAGATAGCTTCCATTCAGATTGGAGTAGTTTTCAGCTATGCACATTGAAATCCAGGGCATGTAATGAGTCCACTAACTTAGCTAAAGAGAGAGGGGGAATCTTTTTGTGTCAGAATAAGTCACATATTCCCTTTCTAAGGAACTTGATGGATTCAGTTTCCTTAGCAGGCAAAGGAACTGAAAGAGAAGTAGTTAGGAAGATTTTAATGTTGCCCTCCATTCATTCCTTATCCTGAACCATGAAATCTAACTTTACTTTCAGTACAACTTTGCTGCCTGTGCCCCAGCTGTCTAGTAGTGTGCATGATCGATCCACTGTACTCATGACAGGAACTGCAACTATCAACTATTCCAGTATGCTTAGTGGACAGGCTGCTCCACTGGCTTCCATTTCAGGTGAGATCTACGTACCAAGACCTCTTAGTTTTGCTATGGTTTGGCCATTGGGTTTAGACCCCTCCTGAATAGGTATGCAGAGCAGTAAGCTTTTCTTCCCTTCATGTTCCCACTAAGCACTACAGGTTTGATGTTTTCCTGTCTTCTGAAGTAGTCTTTGACTGCAAAGCTGTCAATGTGTAATTCAATTATGCGCCAAGACCATGTTTTTTCTTCTCTCTATGTATAGGACACCACTTTGTCTTGAGCAGAGAAAAACAAGACTTTTTTTATTGCTGGTGAATGTTGCTCTTCACTTGTTCACTAAGTAGTGCTCCTAGTGATAAAACCAGACCAAGGAGACTGTAATGGGTCATATTAAATAAGGATGATTGCTTAGGTGGTAGTGTCTGTTATTTTAAAACAATATTATTCACATTTTAAATGTGAGGAGTTAAATGTCACTTGGGATATCACAAGCAATATTCAGTATTCTGACATTCATTCCCACCTCATTCAGTCTCTGTCAATAACTACCCCTATGGTGTCACAGTCAGTGGCAAACCTAGTTTTCCCTTTGTGTAGTCAGTGAGGTAGTCTTCAAACTTTCATATTCTGGGTTACTTCTTAAATTGCAGTAGAGTTAAATAACATTCTGTGGGAAATAAGATATGTGGAAAGAATATATAAGTCCTCTTTCATTTACCTACTTTAACTATTGGTCTTTGAAACTTGCTGTTAACTGTTATTCATTAAAAACTAGTAGAATATCAATGTAATATAGCTTGTAAATAATGGATCATCTTCCACACAGCATTCATTGCCTTAACTGACATGCTAGCAGAGGGTTGGGTGCAGATGGATAACATTTTCCAGTGCTTTTATTATATATGCTGGAAAAAGGCAATATCTGTATAATATGAACAGTAGGAAAAGATAACTAAATCCTAACAGAAGAAACCAACTGTGCATTTTTCTGTGTCCTGCCTGCTCCAAAGCTTCCAGGAAAACCCTAACTGCCCATACTTTCCCAGTTCCTCCCAGATGAAACTTGCAGTTGGTATTAAAGAAGCCCAGTTGATGATAGGATAGGTGTTGTGTCACTGGGGCAGGGATGCACAAGCATTTCAAGGGGAATCTAAATCTTCCCACCATCCCCTCCCTTGACTGAAGCAGGCTGTGATGTAAAGCATGTTCCTTTTAACTTGTCCAATATGAACTGGGCTTCTTTTTAAGAACAAGCAAACCAGAATGGTTGCCTTCGATATGACAAAGCTTGAGAGCAATATCACATATTATGAGGTAAACCAAGGTTTTCCACTGAATGCACACATCACAGGGAGTTGAGACTAATCAACAGTGTATGTGTGTTACTTGTGTGACAGAGTGATACACATGCTTGCAAGTGCCTCTTCATCACATTCACACATTAAAGTTTTAGGAGTCCATTTGAAAAATTTGAGTACATACCATCTTGAGCATAAAGTGAACTTGAGAACCACAGTGCTAGGAAGCAGGCAATAGCATTATATGATAGTTGAGAGAATGTCTTTCTTCGTTATACTTCCAATTTTCTTTCAGTCTTTCATCCTGGATCATCTGTTCTCTTTTGCCAGCTGCTGAGAGCCCTTGACCCTGCTGTTCACCGTTCATATATGATACTTTTTTTTTCCTTTTTGTCTTTTTAGTTACTGGCAGGACAACTCCATATGAATCTTTTCAGACAAAAGCCCAGGGAACATTTGGTACCCTCAAGGAAGAACTCCTTCCTGCCATTCCAAGCCCCCCACCAATCCGCAGGGCCAGCCTCCCACTCAGCATGGTTTTTAACTCAAACAGTCACATTGTTCCATTGACCCCTAGCAGTGAATACAGCCCATCCAGCCAGGAAAACAGCTCCAGTGAGGCCTTCACTTACAACATCCAAACCGAAAGGTAGGTGTGCAGCAAATACAAACAAGCTTAGTGGGAACTATAGGTGAAGGCAAGAAGTTTGTTCTCATCAAGGAAGATAGTGTTTGCCACCTAAGACAAAAAGGCTGTTAGCTTTCTTCCCCCTACCCCCAAATCAGTTGTCTTTAATTGTACCTCAAATCTGTCACTTGTAATGACTTTCTCATTCATGTACTGATTCAAATGAACTGCACAGCACTTTTTCTGCCCTATATTGCCTATGTGATAGGTCTAAATTACAGAGTAGATATCCCATGTTAAATTGGCGCAATTGGGCCTTTCCTTATACAATTTATAAAAAAAATTACATCCATGTATGACTGTTTAGTGGACAGATACACAGGAGATGCACTTGGTGGGAACCTAGTGAGAAGCTGTCTTATTTGCAGTTTAGAGCATAGTCTGCCATAGCATTTGTCTGAACTGGACCCTTGTGTCATAATAATGCTACTTGCTTTTCATATGCTATTCAATCAATAGCATGAATATGAGTGTTTTTGCTGAGGTATCTCACCTCTGGAACTTCATCCTCTTTTAACTTTGGCATAGGTTAAGTATAAACCTTTCCTGGAAAACATTTTTTATTTGGCCAAGCAATCACTGGCTGTGGGAGGGCTTATTTTAAGTAAAATTTTATGAATTTATACTTTTTGTAGTGTGTGTTTAGTATATAGAAGATGCATCTCCTTATCCATAGCAGAGAGAACTGGCTATAATCCTAGACAATAACTATTAAACTGTTTCTTCCTTTGCTGCAGTATCAATTCACCTGTGCACTGCAGTTTCCCTGAACAGCTGGAACCTACAGCCAACCTAGAAACCTCATATTATCAGCCAAGTACCCAGTCTGGGGCCTACCAATTTTGCCAGTACCCGCAACATCAAGTGTCCCAGTTACACCACTTCCCAATCCAGCTCACTGGCAATGCGTTGCCCAGTGTCCACCTCACACCAGCTACACCCAGTAAATCCAGCACAGCAATTTTCTCCCTACCTGGCAACAGTAGTCTTTTGACATATGGAACAACAGAGGCTCCTCGGGGGTATCTGCAGAATCACTTAAGAGGACAGCTTCTAATACAGCCATCAACTGGGAGCTCAGGTGAGTGTCCACATATTGGTAATTTCTTGGCAAGGGAGAGATACTATCAGTGGTCAGGAAAATGGAGAGGACAACATGCACAACACATATTTGATTATTTTAGTCCTTCCACAAAGTGATCCTTAATCAAAGGTAAGATTGCTTGCCAACATTTTCATCATCAGAAAGCAAAACTCTTTCTTATATCACATGAAAAGCAAACTCATAGCATTACTTCCCTTTTTCAGGTAAGTAAACTGGTAAACTTTCTCAGGTAAACTGTCTCAGATGATCAGAAATCAGCAAGATTGAAACATTCCTAGATATTTCCCAGTGATGAAGAAAGGTGTTGATTTTACTTTAGTCTCATTGTGGTATGGAGAGATGCAGGAGATCATGAACTCAGTTCTTCTCCTGTGCATAGTGTGCTATTCCTTGGCATACTGGAGAGCAGCAGGCACTAAAACAGGCTGGATGTTGGGTATAAGACTCAAAGTGAGCACATGCTAGAGCACATAGTTCTGCCTACTATGTGGCACCAGCAGCAAAAGAGGCCGACTTTGCTGCCTCCATTGCATCCTCAAATAGCTGTCCAACAAAGGTCTTTTGGGTGGTTCAAGAGTAGTTAACACTCTCTCAGGGACATTCCGAGATCCCTATGCATCACAGTTTGAGGACAAAACCATTTGTCTCTGTGGTGAACTTGCTAATGTTGTTAGCAGACAAGGTGCTTACAGCAGTGCTACATAGAAACAGTGCAAGTCAAAAGGGACCTCCCAGGCCATCTTGTCTGACCCCCAGCTCCAGCCAGCTCTGCTCACAACATGCCCACCATGGCATGCCTAACCTATCTTCGAACACCCCTTCGAGTCCTAAGTGTCAGGAAGATCTTCCTGGCATCTAAATGGAATCTTGGTTCTTTGTCGTGGCCTCTGTGCATCACACATATGGGTACTGCGCCTGCGCAGTGCCTGTGGCCGGAAGATTGATAGCTAACAGTTTTTGGCGGAAAGCTCTGCTCCCCTCCCCCCTGTGGCCTATAAAGAGCGGAGCGTCCGCCATTTTGTTCAGCCTTTGTGACCACCGTTTGCTGTGCCTCTTGCCACTTTCGACTTTCACTTCTACTATTACCTCATTCTCGAATTGTCCCTTATCCTAGTTTTTTCCTCTCCTTGTCCCAGCTTATTATTCTGTGTAGCTTTCTCTCATTATTTCTTCTTTCGATCTATCTATCTATCTATCTATATATACTTACCCTCTTCACTATCTCTCTTTTCTTCCTCTTCTTCTGCGATGGCGCAGCGAGTGGCTTTCCGCAAATGCGCGGATTGCGGGTCAAAAATGGCACCAACTGACCCGCATGACCTATGCCTCCTCTGCCTGGGAGAGGGGCATAGGACTGATAAATGCGTGCATTGCCTGGCCTTCTCCAAGCAGGCCAGGAAGAACCGCGAAAACTGGCTTTGGAGGCTCCTTTGGGATCGGGCTCTGATGCAGTCAGACCCGGTCGTCGCTGTCCCAAAACCTGGCTCCGCTTCTGTGGCCCCACCCTCACGGCCTTCAGACGAAGGTGCATCTGCTTTGGTGGCCCCCTCTGCTTCACCTAAAAAGAAGCATGAAAAGCGGAAGCACGCCGAAGAGAAGTTGGCAGGCCATAAGAAGGCCAGAAAGGAGAAGGTCTCCAAGCCTCCAAAAAAGTCTAAGACTTTGGACCGTCCGGACCATCCCCGAAATCGGAATTCGGAACCGATGGGACCCTCGGCACCGGTGGTGGTTACAATACCGACCCCGCCCGAACCGGTCCTCCAGGAGGCTATGCGGGTTACCCCTCAAGGGTCTCCCAGCCGTTCGGTTGACCTCCCACCTGCACCCCTTCCAACTCTATGGGGTTCAATTTCCGATGGGGAAATCCAAGACTCCCCTCCTAGGGGGAGATCACCGACACCCATGCCCGCGGTGATGATGGAAACAGATGTTGGCCTTTCCCCACCAGGGAGCCGGAGGAGCCGCTCGGTAGAGCAACGCCCAGAGAGTTGGCATCGCCCTTACTACCATACTTGGGGCAATGCGCTCTCTGTAGGGTACTACCCTGCTCCCAGGGCACAATCATCTCCTCCACCCCGCGACCAACCACGATCAGTGGATTCGAGGTGGGTGCCACCTCGATCCCCACAAAGTGGAAGCAGCCGCTCCTTCTTGCTGGCAGAGTCGTCATCTTCGGCCCCACCCTACTACGGTGCCGATTTGGCTGACTCGGAGCTCAACTCAACCTCCCTGGACATCGCTGTGACATCCCAGGGTCCTGCGTCACCCAACGAGTCCCACGTCTCCTTCGCGGAGCTGATGTCAAGACTTGTCCAGTCCCTGGACATCAATGCTGCCCAGCACCTGGGGCCGTCGACGGACAAGTTTTACGACGTCGTCCGCAGGGAGCAATCGACATCTATCGTTCTGCCTCTCATAACCACCTTGCGGCAGGCAATGACGCACCCCTGGGACCTGCCATCACATCCTCAGCTGATATCCAGGAGGTATGAGTCGATGTACAGGGTTCGGGGAGAGGATATTCCCTTCCTCCTCAAACACCCGAAACTGAACTCTGCGGTCGTCGAATCCTCACAGGGCAGAGAGGCGAGAGGACACACAGCACCGAGAGATAAAGAGGGCCGAAAAATAGACTCCCTGGCCAGGCGAGTCTATGCTGCTTTGGGCTTGGGACTTCGCATATCAAATTATGAGGCGACGTTGGCGAGATATCAATATTTTATTATGCAGCGCCTCCACAACATTGCCTCCACGCTCCCAGACCACCAGGGTGATCTCGTGAAGGTCCTGATCAAGGAAGCCATGCAGGTCACGGTGCAGCAGTTATCCACAGCAAGGCACCATGTGGATACTGACTCCTGGACCTTGGTCGGTGCCGTTTCCCTTCAGAGGCATGCATGGCTCCGGAATTGTAATTTCCCGGAAGAAACCAAGCAGCGGATAGAGGAAATGCCTTTCGATGGATCCGGGCTTTTCCATTCTCGAACTGACCATAAGCTCAAGAAGCTCCATGAATCGAGGATGACGGCATGCAGGATGGAGATCCAGTCTCACACTAGACATAAGTGGTCCTGGAATCGTCCATCCTACAGGCAATCCTACCAACCGAGACAGCAGCCTCAACACCACCAGCAACAACAACAGCAGCGCTGCCGTCCTCAGCCCCAACAGCATTTTCAGCAGGGCCACCATCGTTTTGACGATTGGAGGCAACGCTGACGGGACTGGCGAACCATTCCTCACACTCCTTCAATACCCACCCCCCTCTCATTTGGGGATTGGCTCCGAAGCCGACTCCCCATTTGGGAGTCCATCACATCTGACCGGTGGGTATTATCCATTGTTCAACATGGCTATCGAATAGAATTCGACATCGTTCCTCCATCGAGTCCAATCCGGTCTACTGTATGCTCACCGGTACTCCTCGACGAAATACGTCAACTTCTCCGTAAAGGAGCGATTCGTCAAGTATTGCCATCTGATGGACTTCACGGATTCTATTCCAGATACTTCACAGTCCCTAAGCGGGATGGTGGTCTACGTCCGATTTTGGATCTACGGAACTTAAATATGTTTATTGTACCGAGAAAGTTTCGTATGACTACCCTTCAAAACATTTTGCTGTTGTTAAGGAGAGAGGATTGGTTCGCCTCACTGGACTTGAAGGACGCCTACTTCCACATTTCAATTCACCCAAATTACAGGCGTTTCCTTCATTTTGCGATTGCAAGCCAACTTTATGAGTTCACAGTTTTACCTTTTGGACTGGCTACTGCTCCAAGAGTTTTTACCAAGTGCATGGGTCCTGTCTGTGTCTTCCTATGCCTTCAGGGCATACAAATTTATCTGTACCTCGATGACTGGCTGTTGGTCTCACAGTCCAGAGAAGGACTTTTGGCGGCCATCCATAAGACCTGTGCCTTACTAGATGACCTAGGCTTACATATTAATACAGAGAAATCTTCTCTTCTCCTGACACAGACACTCACCTTCATCGGAGCCCGCTTGGATTCGACGTTGGAGAAAGCTTTCCTCCCGCAAGACAGACAACAGACTCTTGCTCGCCTTATCCATCGAATCTGACGAGAGGGAATGGTCATGGCGAGGTCTATCCAGAGGGTCCTGGAACATATGGCGTCCTCAGTTGCTGTGGTTCCACATGCCAGACTTCAGCTTCGCCCACTACAACTATTTTTCAACAGGGTGTATCACCCTCAAAGAGAGCCACAGTTCAAACTGATTTGGATCCCATCTTCCGTGCTCCACTCTCTGCGCTGGTGGCTGAAACCGACCAATCTTACGCTAGGAGTCCCCTTCAGGGCGCAATCTCCTACGATAACCCTCAGCACCGACGCGTCTCTCCTAGGATGGGGAGCGATATGCTCTGGCCTGTCTACCCAGGGTATGTGGAATCGTCTAGAATCCACGAATCATATCAGCTTCCTGGAGCTACTGGCAGTCTTCAAGGCCCTCCGTTCTTTCGAGGACCTCCATCATCTGATCGTTCAGATAACCTCAGACAATATAGCGACCATTTTTTATCTGAACAACCAAGGAGGGACGAAGTCACCAACTCTAGCCAGACTCTTGATGGAAATTTGGGACTGGTGCATTCAGAGACACATCGCGCTGATGGCTGTTCATGTGGCTGGCATAGACAACATGCACGCGGACCTTCTCAGCAGGCACAAGTTCACCTCTCACGAGTGGAAACTGGACCCTCATACGCGCAACCACCTTTTCAGGCGCTGGGGGTTCCCCGATGTGGACTTATTCACTACCCAACGGAACAGGGTGTGCGAGGCTTACTGCTCGAGAGCGGGAATCGGACACGCGTCCCTAGGGGACATATTCATGATCCCTTGGAACAACATGCATTTCTATGCCTTCCCTCCGATCCCTCTTCTGATGAAGGTCATAGCAAAGATCGTGCACAACCGGGCATCGGGGATACTAGTTCCCCCTTGGTGGCCACC